GAAGGTTAGAACTCCCAACATAGTGGTAGCTGGAGACTTTAATGCAAAGCACCTAGTGTGGGGGCCAAACGCCGGTGATGAGAGAGGGGCGCGTCTGCTGGAGTTCGCTGCGGCCAACGAGCTCATTGTAATTAACGACCCACAATCGCGGCCCACGTACGAGACCCCGTACGCGGCCAGCTGGATAGACGTAACGTTGGCCTCGTCCACCGCCGCGCAATCCGGATTCCAGTGGTGGGTACGGGAAGACTTAACTCGCTTTGAACATCGCTACAATGAAATCAGGATTGGAGGAAGCGAAGTTCGGACTGGAAAACGGTTGACACGTTTTGCCCAAGCCGAACTACTCAGGGCACTCGCAAGGGACGCTTGGATTGATCAAGTGTTAGGGGCCGACTTATCGTCAACGACGGCACTGGACTTCGTAATGGAAGCATTCTATAAAATCTTCCAAAGCCACCAGCATAAACAACTGCGCCCAATCAAATCTAGAGCCGGAAAGTCGTGGTGGACGCCGCAATTGGCAGAAGAAAGGAAAAGGGTTAATGCTATGTGGCGGAGGTTTCAGCGGTGCCCAGACAAAGATCTTAGAGTGTGGCATAGGTGTGAATATTCGAAGGCGTTAGCGATGTTCCGAGCCCGAATAAGGGAGGCCAAAGATAGTTACGAGGCTGAATGTAACGCGGCTTGTTCGAGGCGTAGTGTTTTTTCGGCCCCTTTTAGGGAAGCCTTCGGCTGCACGAAAAGCACAAAATTCTTGCCACCTTTAGAGGGCCCGGATGGAAAGCTCACGAGCTCGCACTTGGAGTCGGCCGCCCTTCTCCTTCGTACGCAGGTAGCTGTAGACGACCCCGACGTTGATCTGCCCGTGCATGTCGCAATAAGAGAGTTGGCGGCAGTCTCGTATCAATCAAGGCTACAGGATGTACCTTTCACAGATGGGGAAGTGAAAGAAGTGATAAGTAAAATATCACCGAGGTCGGCGCCGGGTCCCGACGGCATTACGCCCGGCATAGTTAAGGGCTTATACGAACTAAGGCCAAAATTCATAATGTTCGTCCTTACCACGGCACTGAGGCTCGGTTACTTCCCTAGATGTTGGAGACGTGGCCGAATCATATTTATACCCAAACCTAACCGGCCCCCGCACTCCACGACTTCGTACAGACCAATATGTATAAACTCAGTTTTTGGGAAAGTTTTGGAAAGGCTCCTCAACGGGCGAGTATATAGCTTCCTGTGGAGGAACGGTCACGTACACGTTCAGCAGTACGGGTTTACGCACGCCATAAGTGCAGTACTGGCACTGCACAACTTAAAGGCGAGGCTCGTACAACTGCGCGCGTCGAAAATTCCTGCCATACTCATGAGCCTCGACTTCCAAGGGGCATTCGACAGTGCATGGCACCCTCAGGTGCTCCGCTTCCTCAGAGAAAGAGGTGTCCCAGAGAACCTATATCACATGCTACGATCGTTCCTAACAGACAGATCAGTAGTATTTAGAACTCAGGCTGGGAAAGCGGAGGCACGGCCTACCCTGGGTAGCCCGCAGGGATCGCCCCTGTCGCCTCTGTTATGGAATGTCACAGTGCACGAATTACTATGTATGCCGGTGCCGAAAGGCGTAACCATACAGGCATATGCGGACGACACCTTGATTATCATCCCCGGCGAATCAAAGAAAAAACTTGAAGAGACGGGATCCGAAGTACTCAAGAAAGTACTAGAATGGGCGCGGGTAGCAAAAGTACGGATAAATAAAGACAAGACCTTCTGCCTATTGTTCGCGCACGGACAAGGCGGACTTGGAACGAAAAGTCGCCTGACCGTGAGAGCGGGAAAAGAGAACAAAGCCCTGGCATTCAAAGAGTCAGTGAAGATCCTGGGCGTCACATTTGATAGACGTCTTTCGTTCTTCCTACATGCCGATGCCCTGATGGCTAGGGTAGAAACACTTCTGACGTGTGTAAACACCCTAGCCCGATTGCAGGGTGGACGACTACGTCCCGAACAAAAGAAAACGTTGTACCGCAACGTCATTCTCCCGGCCGTCACATACGCGTCACCAATATGGTGGGACGAAGTAAGCCCGGACTGCAGGTTAAAATCCAGAATGATTTCAATACAACGATCGATTCTCCTACACTTGTCCGAGGCATTTCACACGACCAGAACGGCCGCTTTACAAGTTATAATGCATGCTCCACCTATCGAATTGGAACTTGATCGAATGAACGCGGTGTTCCGTCTGTTTACCCTGCGAAGTATCGTTCGATACGGGGATCTAATCGTACGACCAGAAGAAGTAATGTACCCAGTCGATCGGCTCGCGATTCATCCAGCTGAGCGTGATTCTTTTCCCTATCGCCGTTTGGCGGCAGGGGAAGCCAACCAACGTGTTGGCAGGACGTCAAGCACTACAAATATACACAGATGGATCGTATGCAGAGGGATTGGCAGGGGCAGCCTATGTTGTTTTCGGCAGGGCGACCCGAGTGGAGGCAGTGGGTAGATTCGCTCTATCGGGAGCCACGAGTGCATTCTGCGCAGAGGCTGTGGCCCTTGGAGAAGCTTTAAATTGGTTGAAAGATCACCCTACTGCCCAAGACATATATATCTATACGGACTGTCTTTCACTCCTTTATGCATTAGGGTCCAGAACTAACTCCGATCCGCGAATAGCAGAAATGCAGAGCACGATTAAGCGCATAGAGGCGCAATCGAATATAAAGCTCTGTCACGTTCCGGGACATAGTGGAGTTTTCGGCAATGAAGTAGCCGACTTTATTGCCTCCCGCGCCGCAAGACGAGATATTATAAGACAGAGCAATGGTCCTCGCGCACTGTGCGAGCGAAATTTAATGAAGAACTCGGGAAACGCTGGGC